CCATGACTTAAATTGAGATGCCGGATTTTTGCGCCGCATATAAACTGTCTCAACCAGGAGTCCTGGTCTAGTCCTGGTCTCATCCTGGTCTCATGGTCTGGTCCTGGTCTGGTCTGGTCCTGGTCTGGTCTGGTCCTGGTCCTGGTCCTGGTCCTGGTCTGGTCCTGGTCTCTGGTCTGGTCCTGGTCTGGTCTCCTAGTCCTGGTCTGGTCTGGTCTGGTCCTGGTCCTGGTCTGGTCCTGGTCTTAGTCCTGGTCTGGTCCTGGTCTGGTCCTGGTTCAGTCTGTTGTATTTTATTACAACTTCAGCAGCTGAACTTGTACTTATACTTCATAAAAATAATAATAATAAGTGAAATCATTTTAACACATGTACTTGTACTTTTACTTTTTAACACATGTACTTGTACTTTTACTTGTACTTGTACTTTTACTTTTTAACACATGTACTTGTACTTTTACTTTTTAACACATGTACTTGTACTTTTACTTTTTAACACATGTACTTGTACTTTTACTTTTTTACTTTTTACTTTTTAACACATGTACTTGTACTTTTACTTTTACTTGTACTTTGTACTTTTACTTTTAACACATGTACTTGTACTTTTTACTTTTAAACACACTTGTTTTTTAACACATTGTTACTTGTAACACATGTACTTGTACTTTTACTTTCACTTTAAACTCGTTTCCATCAGATTTACACAAAACAAACTTCACAAACTTAACACAAACACTTGAATTTCACCTCGTGTGAAGAGAAATAAACAGTTTGTGTTTAACTGGGACAAACTTCACTTCTTCCTCCTCTTTCTCTCCCTCCTCCCTCTATTCTTCTCTTCCTCCCTCTCTCTTCTCCCTCTCCTCCTCCTCTTGCTCTTTTTACTCCTCTCCTCTCTCTCCTCCTCCTCTCTCTTCTCTCTTCTCTCTCTCCTCATGTTCTTTCTCCCCCCTCCTAACTCTCTCCCTCTCTCTCCTCTTCTTACCTCTTCTCTTCTTCTCTCTCTCTCCTCCTCCTCTTTCTCTTCCTACCCCTCTTCTCTTTCTTCTCTCTCTCTCTCTCACCTCACTCTCGCTCTTCCTCCTCCCTCCATCTTTCTCCTCCTTCTTTTCCTCTCCACTCTCTCTCTCTTTTGCTCTTGCTCGTTCTACCCCTCCTCCCTCTCTTTTCTCCTCCTCTCTCCTTCTCTCACTCCTCCTCTTGCTCTTTCTCCCTCTCTTCCCTCTCTCTCTCCTTCTCCTCCCTCTCCTTCTCCTCTTGCTATTTCTCTCTCTCTCTCTCTCTCTCTCTCTCTCTCTCTTCTCTCTCTCTCTCTCCTCCTCTTACTCTTTCTACTTTCTCCCCCTCCTCCCTTTCTCTCCCCTCACTCGCCTTCTCCTCCTCTCTTCTCCCTCTCCCCTTCCTCTTCCCTTTCTTCCTACCTCTCCTCTCTTCCGCCCTCTCTTCTCTTTCTTCTCTCTCTCTCTCTCTTTCTTTCGTGGGTCAATCTTTCCTTCTGTAGGACGCGGGACTGAAGCTCCAAACTCGTGCGTAAAAGTTGGATCTCTCCGTGCGCGCTCACTCCTCCTCCCTCCTCCTCTTCTTCCTCTCTCTCTCTCTCTCTCTCCTTCTCTTGCTCTTCCTCCTCCTCCTCCCTCCTTCTCACTCCTCCTCTCGCTCTTTCTACCCCACTCTCTCTCTCTCTTTCTCCTCCCTCTCCTCCTCTTACTCTCTCTCCTCGCCTTCTCCTCCTCTCTAACTCCCTCTCCTCTTCCTCCCCTTCCTCTCCTCCCTCTCTTTCTACCTCTCCTTCTCCTCCCTCTCCTCTCTTTCTCCCCCTTTTCTCTCCTCTCTCTCTCTCTTTCGTGGGTCAATCTTTCCTTCTGTAGGATGAGGGAATGAAACTCCAAACTCGTGCGTAAAACTTGGATCTCGCCGTGCGCGCTCACGCCTCCTCCTCCTCCTCCTCCTCTTCCTCCCTCTCTCTCTTTCTCTCTCTCTCTCCTTCTCTCGCTCTTTCTCCCTCTCCCGTTCTCTCTCTCTCCTCCTCTTACTCCTTCTACCCCTCCTCCCTTTCTCTCCCCTCCCTCGCCTTCTCCTCCTCTCTTCTCCCTCTCCTCTTCCTCCTCCCTCTCTCTCCTCCTCTCTCTCCTCTCTCCTCCTCTCTCTCCTCCTTTCTCCTCCTCTCTCTCCTCTCTCACTCTTCTCTCTCCCTCTCCTCCCTCTCCTCCTCCTCTTGCTATTTCTCTCTCTCTCTCTCTCTCTCTCTCTTTCCTCTCTCCTTCTTTCTCTCTCTCCCCTCCCCCTCCGCCTTCTCCTCCTCCCTCTCTTTCTTCCCTTCCTCTCCTCCTCTTTCTCTTCCTCCCCCTCTTCTCTCTCTCTCCTCTCTCTCTCTCTCTCTCTTTCTTTCGTGGGTCAATCTTTCCTTCTGTAGGACGCGGGACTGAAACTCGTGCGTAAAAGTTGGATCTCGCCGTGCGCGCTCACTCCTCCCTCCTTCCCCTCCTCCTCTCTTCCTCTCTCTCTCTCTCTCTCTTTCCTTCCCTCTCTCCTTCTCTCCTCTCCTCACTTCAGTCCAATCAAGACTCCTCGACCTGTTGGACTCTTCCACGCTCCCGTTTTGGACTTTTAAAACAAACTTTTTTCACCGTTTTCTTTCGCTTTTTACGTTTTTTTCTTTTTCACGCTGGAGATTTTTCACGCGGTTTTTCATTGACGCTCGGGACAAACTCATGGGATTTTCACTTTTTTTCCTGCTGATTTCCCTTCTGGATTATAATTATTCCCCCGGATCATGAGGAGATGCATGATTCCGTGAGATAAAGCGGCTCGTGGACGCGGAGTTTTTAAGGTAAAGTTTCTCTGAGCCTCGAGGCGCAGCTTTAGAATTTCAAATCAGAAATGTAAATTTAAACTTTTCTCTTTTATGAGACAGTTTTTCCTCACAGATGATTATAAAGAAGCAAGTTTGAAATGAAAAAAGTCCTGGTTTAGTCCTGGTTTAGTCCTGTTTAGTCCTGATTTTAGACCTGGTTTAGTCCTGGTTTAGTCCTGGTTTTACTGGTTTAGGTTTAGTCCCGGTTTTAGTCCTGGTTTAGACCTGTTTAGTCCTTTGATTTTAGTCCTTGTTTTAGTCCTGGTTTTAACCTGGTTTTAGTCCTGGTTTAAGTCCTAGTTTAGTCCTGGTTTAGTCCTGGTTTATTCCTGATTTTAGACCTGGTTTAGTCCTGGTTTAGACCTGGTTTAGTTCTGATTTTAAACCTGGTTTAGTCCTGGTTTAGTCCTGATTTTAGACCTGGTTTAGACCTGGTTTAGTCCTGATTTTAGACCTGGTTTAGTCCTGGTTTAGTCCTGATTTTAGACCTGGTTTAGTCCTGGTTTAGTCCTGTTTAGTCCTGGTTTAGTCCTGGTTTAGTCCTGGTTTAGTCCTAATTTTAGACCTGGTTTAGTCCTAGGTTTAGTCCTGATTTTAGACCTGGTTTAGTCCTGGTTTAGACCTGGTTTAGTTCCTGATTTTAGACCTGGTTTAGTCCTGGTTTAGTCCTGATTTTAGACCTGGTTTAGTCCTGGTTTAGTCCTGATTTTAGACCTGGTTTAGTCCTGGTTTAGTCCGTCTGATTTCGTGGACTGTTGTTCGTGTTTTTGTTCGTGTTTGTGGTCTTTTGTGGGTGGTCAGGTTCTGTCTGGTCAGTGTTTTGGTCAGTGTTTTGGTCAGTCAGTGTTTTGGTCAGTGTTTTGGTCAGTGTTCTGGTCAGTGTTTTGGTCAGTGTTCTGGTCAGTGTTTTGGTCAGTGTTTTGGTCAGTGTTTGGTCAGTGTTTTGGTCAGTGTTTTGGTCAGTGTTTTGGTCAGTGTTTTGGTCAGTGTTTTGGTCAGTGTTTTGGTCAGTGTTCTGATCCGTCAGGTGGATCAGACCGAAACGCAGGATAAAAATAGTTTGGACTTTGTCCTTTGAGCCCGCGGAGCCTCCAGAACATGTGCGGTTTATTTCCGTGAAACATCGGGGGTCAAATACAGAAGCTGCGCTGTGGAGTTTTACGGCTCTGGACCTGGAGAAGGGGGGGGCTGGTCTGGGACTGAGACTCACTTTAAAGGGCCAATATTACGTGATTTTTTAGGTGACGGGTCAAAGAGCAGCTCACAGGCCCCGAGGAACTGAGAAAACTCAAGGACCGTTACGTCGCCCGGTGTGACACAACCCGGGCCCCACCCTGAGCCAGGACGACGTGTGTCCTCCTGTGGACTCCCCACCCGCAGAGGGGTTCAGAGGGGTTCAGAGGGTTCAGAGGGGTTCAGAGGGGTTCAGAGGGGTTCAGAGGGGTTCAGAGGGGTTCAGAGGGTTCAGAGGGTCAGAGGGTTCAGAGGGGTTCAGAGGGGTTCAGAGGGGTTCAGAGAGGTTCAGAGGGGTTCAGAGGTTCAGAGGGTTCAGAGGGGATTCAGAGGGGTTCAGAGGGGTTCAGAGGGGTTCAGAGGGGTTCAGAGGGGTTTCAGAGGGTTCAGAGGGTTCAGAGGGTTCAGAGAGAGGTTCAGAGAGAGGGTTCAGAGGGGTTCAGAGAGGTTCAGAGGGGTTCAGAGGGGTTCAGAGGGGTTCAGAGGGTTCAGAGAGGTTCAGAGAGGGTTCAGAGGGGTTCAGAGGGATTCAGGGGTTCAGAGGGGTTCAGAGAGGTTCAGAGGGTTCAGAGGGGTTCAGAGGGGTTCAGAGAGGTTCAGAGGGGTTCAGAGGGGTTCAGAGGGGTTCAGAGGGGTTCACAGGGGTCAGACTGTGGTCCACAGACACAACATCTGACTGTGGCCACATAGAACATCACCTCATGGGGGAAGGAGAGGGAGTTTGTGCGGGAGGTTGAAAGGCACTAGAGATAGTCGGCCTCACCTCCACACGCAGCTCGGGCTCTGGGGACTTCAACGCCCACGTGGACAACGACACTAACAGCTGGAGAGGAACGGCCTCCTGATCTGAACCCGAGCCGTGTTCTGTCATTGGACGAATGTGTGAATCAGTTTGTCCAGAACCAACACCATGTTCGAGCACAAGGTCCATCAGTGCAGGTGGCACCAGGACACCCTCGGCCGGAGGTCGATGATCGACTTTGTGGTCGTGTCAAGTGACCTCCGGCTGCGTGTCTTGGACACTCGGGTGAAGAGAGGAGCAGAGTTGTAGAGCTCCACCTGGTTGTGAGTTGGTTCACTGGCAGAGGAGGAAGTCAGAAAGACCTGACAGGTCCAAGTGTGTAGTGAGGGTCTGTTGGGAACATCTGGCAGAGCCTCTGTCAGAGGGACTTTCAACTCACACCTCCAGGAGCTTCTCCCAGATTCCAGGGGAGTCTGGAGACATGGGCTTTGTTCTCTCTCTATTGTCGATGCGGCCGCTCGTAGCTGTGGGTGTAAAGTCTGTGGTGCCTGTTGCAGCAGCAGCCCCTGAACCCTGAACCCTGAACCCTGGACACTGGAAGTAAGGGACACCGTCAGGCTGAAGGAGGAGTCCTATCAGGTCTTGTTGGCTCGTGGGACTCCTGAGGAACCTGATGGAACCAACTGGTCAAACGTGCTGCAGCTTGTGCAGTCGCAGAGGCAAAAACTCGGAGTTGGGAGGAGTTCGGGGAGGACATGGAGGAGGAGTATCGGACGGCCTCAAAGAGATTCTGTCAAACCGTCGGGCGCCTCAGGAGGGGGAAGCAGTTCCTCACCAACACTGTTTACAGTGCGGGAGGATCTTAAGTCTCTGGATGTTGTGGGTCTTGGTTGACACGCCTCTTCAACATCGCGTGGCGGTCGGGGACAGTGTCTCTGGACTGACAGACCGGGGTGGTGGTCCCTCTGTATAAGAAGGAGGTGTTCATGTCCCACCGGGAGGAGGCCCCGGGGAAGAGCCAGGACACTGGAGGGACGATGTCTCTATGTTCCTGTATCTGATCTTTTATTGTCAGTCTGAACCACACAGATCTGATTTTTTCAAACATGACCCAGGACACTTGGATCTGTGCTCCTGAAACTGATCCATATCTGATCTTTAACATGTGACTTGAGTGTGAACAGTCAGGTCACATTCATCCACCTACACGTCATCAACAAGACACAAACGTCACTATTCTGCACTGAAGTAGAGAAAACTGTTCATGATCCATGTGACTGAAGTGAAGCACATCTCCACTCACCACAAAACACCACCACCAAAAACCTCCACTAAATCAGGACTAAACCAGAACTAAACGAGGTCCGAGACCAGACCAGGACTTAGACAAGGACTGAGTCAGGGACCAAGGCTGAGACTGGGATCAGACAAGAACTGAAAATGGTTTAGTCCTGGTTTAGACCTGGTTCAGTCCTGGTTCAGTCCTGGTTTAGTCCTGGTTTAGTCCTGGTTTAGTCCCGCATCGCATTTTAAACTCACAGAAACGCCATTTCCCATTCCGTGACTTAAACCAGGACTAAACTAGGAACTAAACCGTTTTCAGTCCTGGTCTGGTCCCAGTCTCAATCCTGGTCTTTCTGGTTTGGTTCTGGACCTGGTTTAGTCCTGATTCAGTCCTTGTTCAGTCGAATGAACGAATGATACACAGATTCTTCTCCTTTACAAAATGTTCCAAATTCTCCACGAGCCGCAGATGTTCTCCTGATATTAACACTTTATTCTCATAAAATTACGACTTTAATGTTGAAATGTTACGACTTTATTCTGGTAGCGCCAGCATTTTATTTATTATTATCTGACCCTTTTACTCCGTGGTATTTATTAAACTGCTCGGACTGAGGAGTCAGGTTCTGTGATGTGAATAAAACTCGACTCTCAGTTTGGACGAGCTGAGAAACGTCTTCAACCAAATAAACTTCTGTCCAGTCGACAAACTGAATTTCTCTTTTGCCTTGAATTCAACGACTGAAGGATTTTTCCCACGTTAATAACAATCGCTGACCGGGCAGTTTTTAAAGACGTGAACCTGAACCGTCACACTGAGCACACGGTGACATCATCGAGTGGAACAGAGCGTTTGTCAGATCTGGAGAACGACAGAGGAATGTTCAAATGATGACAGAGGAACACAGAACAAGATCAACATCAAACAGATCATCACAGATCACACAATCACATGACAGATCACACAGAGATCAACACACAGATCACACAGATCACATCAACAGATCACAGATCACACAGATCAAACAAACAGACACAGATCACAGATCAAACAGATACACAGACACAATCACACAGATCAAACAGATCACACAGATCAAACAGATCACACAGATCAACAGATCAAACAGATGATCAAAACAGATCAGATCACAGATCAAACAGATCACACAGATCAAACAGATCACACAGATCAAACAGATCACACAGATCACACAGATCACACAGATCAAACAGATCACACAGATCAAACAGATCACACAGATCACACAGATCAAACAGATCAACAGATCACACAGATCACACAGATCACACAGATCACAAACAGATCAAACAGATCAAACAGATCACACAGATCACACAGATCACACAGATCACACAGATC